GGTCTTAATGTTTAAATTAGTACTTTTATTAATAACATATCAATTCACCCTACTCAGAACGGAAATCTTCCACTAACAGTTAATATTGAAATATCGAACCTTGCTCTGAACACTAGAAAGCAGCAGAGAAATGATATGAAGAAGAGGTTCAAGGAAAAGTGGGATTTCGTAGCCAAGATCAGAAAAGTGGAGAAATGGAGGCAGAGACAGCCAGCGGGCGGAGGGATGAAGAAGCCTGGCCAACCCTGTCAAAAACAGTAACTCATATGTAGGCAAACATGGAGCCTCATCATGCACAGTGTCTCTCATCTTTACAACAGCCCTGTGGATACGGTGAGGCAGTGCAGTGGAGGAGGCACAGGGTTTACACTTGGAAATGTGCTTGGCGTGTTATGAGGACTCAATGCATTATCCTAAGACATTTTACAGATAGAGAACTGAGACTTAGAATGGTTAAATAAATGACCTGAAGGTCATTAGGTAAGTAAAGGATGAAAGCAAGATTGGAACCCAGGAATCTGACACTTGGGTCCCTGCTCTTAGCCCCTGATCTAAGCGAGGCTGTGATGCTCACTCATCTCCCTTTGCAGCGTCTGCCCTCTGACCCAGACACCTAAGAAGCCCCTTCTGCGTTTTATCTCAGTAGTGCTTTGCTGCCAACCAGCTGCCCATCAAACCATAAGCCCAGTGTGAGACCGATAGCCAGGATACTAAGGAGTGTTTTAAAGACTGGGAAGATGTTGGACAAATTATGTTCCGTTGACAGTCCGGTGGGTGATGAACTGTCATTGAAAACTTCTTGAGCAAGAAAGAGGAGAGGGAGGGAAGGAGAGAGGAAGAGATGACCAGTAGAAATCACCTCTTATCACATTGCTGTCAAAAATGGCTGCCCTCTCCATATCCAGATGGGTAGTTTGGGTTCAGAGATGCACAGTAGGTGGAGCTGGGTCTCCTAAGGTGGTTGCAATGATTTCTTCTCAACAGCTTTGGGAAGACAGAGCTCAGGAACAAAATTACGGAGGAAAGAACATGGGAAATGGTTTGCGCCCGGACTTTGGCTCTCACACCAATTGTCCTAGGGACGTTAAATTCTGGCTCATTCTCCATTCCCGTGTAGGTTCATTGGGTTTTTTAGTTGCATACAGCCGTCTTCACTCTCTGTGGATACCCAGTAGCTTCTTTGTTAGGATTCGACATCCATGTCTGAGTTCCCCCACTTAATTCTCCACACCGACCTCCCCTCACCACCCAGAAGCATCCCCATGACAATCCCCAAAATCTAGTGCCCGGCCTGGGAAAAGTTCAGGAAGGAACTCTGAGAAGCAAAGCTTTCTGTCCTAAGGCAGCACCTGGGCTTACCTCACTGACCAGGAGCAGTCGGAGAGCATCGGACCGGTCTTCTACAACACAGAACATTTACCTTGGATTTCAAGGAGCGGACACTTGATTGAAAAGATGATCAGTAAGTGACCCCCGCCACACACACACACACACACACACACACACACACACAATGAAACAATTTGTTCAGGGACATTAAAAAAAAAATGTGCTAATCCTTAGAAATCTCACATTGGAAAAACTGGGAAAAGAGGAGAGTCGGAAGGGCTGTGAGCCATCCAGAGGGATTTTTCCAGAAAGTTGCAAGAGGATCAAGGAGTCTTGGGAGGCTGGGGAGGCCACAGAGGCCATGGGTAAACAGTGAGCCAACGTTCCTGTTCCCAGAAATAATGAGCCCTGACCTTGGAGCTCC